TTTCGTGGTAAGGTATAATCGAGCACATCATATATGTACAACAAATTCACCTTATTTTTTTCTAAAGGTGCGTTCCTTTAAAAAGTAATAACGGCTAGAGGAAAACCATTAAGGTTACTTGTTGATTACTTTGAAGACATTTCTGCGATTAGGAGAGCGAAAGAAGTGGAATTTGGCAGCATTTTTTGTTCATTTATCGGGGAGATTATCACCATTTTGGTATTGATAAATGGCATCAGAAATCAGCTGTTAATACCATCTTGAGAAGTCGAGAACAACCAACATCATTCACTCGATTTGTAATGAAATCATTTTATCGCTTTGCTCTGTGAAGTCGCAACTTTGCCTTCATATCAGATAGTGTAAAAATATGAAAAATTCGGACTTTTAGCTGTATATTAGAAAGTTGTGATTTCGAAAATTTTCAGTAGGATTGTAGAAGTCACAAATATTTGCTTAATATTTATGCTCACCAACCATGCCACCAGACGTATGGAACTCAAGCTCTACCGGGGGGTATAATCAGGCTAAGGGCTATGGGAGTTGAAATTTGTATTTTTCAAAGGTTCACCTACCCTGCTCAGGGCACGGTTTCTCATTTGCATCGACTTCAACGACCATTTTACCTTTTTCGGTTTCTTCGTTATAAATGTTGTAGTCCGATGGTTCTGAAATCGAAAATCATATTTATGTAATTATATGCCTTCTTATATTCTAAAACACTCACGTAAGCACTTCTCCTTGTTGCAGAATTTGAACACCCACGTATTGCCTGTACAAATCAACGATCGAAACAGTGGTAAATTAGCAGAAGTGGTGCTAACACTAACCTTCATCGTCAACATCAGACAAGATCATTGCGTATTGTGTGTAAGAAAGGTTAATTTTTTCATGACCAAACTCTTGAAGCAAATATGTGCCACAGTCACGATAAGTGAAAGCTAAATCAAAGACATTAAAACACATTTATATACCGAGAGACAGTGTGGCATTGTAAATAGCTTACTTTCCCCCGTGTCCTTTTGAATGATTTGGGCTTGTACACAAGAAGTGGAACATTTCATCTACGTAAAAGAAATTAATTTATTGTAATGATGAAATTGCGAAGAACGGCTCACCAGTTTTCCTAGATCCTTAGCGCAAGGATAACCTTCTAAAGGACCAGTATTCTGTTTTTGATAGAAGCCAACGTAATTGTGGCCATGCTGTAAAGAGAACCGAGCACATAAGTACA